AATGGATTTTATGGTATATTTGAAGGCAGAAGCTAAGACTCCACACCTGAATAGCTTTTCAAACCTCCCCCAATGCACTGGAGAAGAGCATATCAGGCTCAGGTTGCCTGGGATTTATTCCCGAATAGACTACTGATTTTTCATTTTGTACTATTATAACTCAGTGTACATTGGTTTCCCACATTGTAAAAAAGGGTGAAGATATGGGTCTCCCTTTTTAAAGCCACTCAGGATGCACTGCTGAAAAGTATGCTTTAAGAATGAGGCCTTATTACTGAGTTCCATTCATGTGGTGGAAATTGCGGGACTGGGATTACAGATTCCTTGCTGGATATTTAAATAACCATAAAAGCCTGAACTGGTCCTGACTGCTCCTGCCCTTATCTACAAATAGCTTCTGACTGTATTTGCAAGGATTAGTATTGCCTATATGGGATCGGACCCATTTTCAGCAAGGCCCTACACTACCCAGGAAATAACTGATCATTAGACATCCACATGCTGACTTGCTGTCTTGTGATATATTATTAGAGGCTGGTGCTTAAGGAAGGGGTGCAGTGTACAAAACAACATTTAACCAGCATTTCTAGATTGCCCTGTGTATCTACCGCAGAGCCAACACTAATAATTTCATCACAAGTCATACATTTTTATGTATTTCTTATAGCATTGGGGCATGCAGCTATGTGATTACAGTAAAATTGTTGCTGTCAGCCTTAAAACCAATGAGTTCATTTGCAAATAAAAGCTTACTAATATGAATTTGAAAGATCAGAAGCTGGGAACGATGAACATATCCCACTGCTTAGATTGTTTCATCTGGACTTGGAAAATCTGGGAACTATTCCAAGGTGTCCCAGTAGCTTTCTGTGTGATTTCCAGCCCATTACTCAAGTTTCAGAGATATATAAGCACCTAACAGCCAGCAGAATCCACCAAAGAATGAGACACCTATTCCAGTTTCAAAATCTGGGCTTTGTTTCTGGGGTGCAATTCCTCTTCTGCAAAGTGAGGATTGAAGACCATTCGTGTTTCATATAGTTTGGGAAAGGTTTAGGTATGAAACCTAGCAGTGCAGGAATCCTCTGGTAATAGAAATTATATGCAAATTATGGGTATTATATGGAAATTATATCCAAAGGTTATTAACTTAATTGGCAAAAATGTGTTCACCAGTATATGTTTGTAAATGTAAAGGTCATTGTCAGTATATGCTGGTAAATGTGAAGGTCACTGTCTCCAGGGTGAGGAGCAGTCATGTGAGGAGGCAGAGATTCCATGTTTACCAAAGGATGGCATTTTTCTGCAAGTGCTTCCGCATGTGAGGAAGTGGGAGATGCCCCAGATCCTGTGCTGTTGGAGGACAAGTCAGGGTCAATTGGATCCAAATACTGTTCACAAGCATTCTTTCCTCTGACATTTTCATGTGTTTTTCTTTACCAGTTGTGTAATAGATCTGAAACCCTCTTTCTGCTGTTCTCATTTTTTGGGCAGTGAAAGATCTGGCTCCTCTCCATTTTCAATTCCACAAAACTGTAACCGTAACCAAGGACAAGTATGTCTTCCGCTATAGTACGATGTATTGTGTATCATATCATTATCTTTTGGGTTTTTCTAGCTAGCAAAATAATAATAATACTTAGCACTGTCATTGCAATTACCTCTCCTAGTCCTTTTTAACCATTGGCTAGTTCAGTGCTTCCCAAACTATAGCCCATGCCCTGGAAGTGGTCTGCAGAAAGCTGTTGCCTCATACTGTTGAATACCCATGTTTACCACTGGTGCCCTGCTGATGACAGCTACATATCTGTTCAATTCAGTGATGCAGAATAGCAGACAGGAACCCCAGTGCATGAAACCAGCTGGGACCACCTGCCAAATTGCACGATGTTGATAACTTGACACCTGTACCTGTAACACTTCTTTCTTACACCACAGTAAAGGCATATTGGTTCTCACAAGAACAAGTGTTCTAGTGGCTTCAGCGATGTTGTGTGACCAGGAAAGTGAAGAGAAATGGTCTCCAAGACGGGATGCTGGAGGGTTTTTATTGCTGATGCTATCATCAGAAGAAATTGGAATAAGAAGAAATGTATTAAATCTAGAAAAGCATTTCATGCAAATGCAAAATTTTTGCATTAAAGTATTATTAATAATCTATTTTTAAAAATAACTATTTTAGATTTCTATATATCCATCTGAAACAGAGACTCCAAACTGGGCCTTCCTAACAGTAGTCTATTTTAACAACCGGGACACAGTTGCTCATAATCACCTTGACCTAAACAAGACATCTCAATTCTGTATATAAGTGGAATAGCTTCAACAGTCTGGGATAAAGGCTCTCTACTGTCATGTGACAAACCTGGATTAAAAAATATCACTCTTCTTGATTTACAGAACACAAAAAGATCAACCTGAGTCTCCTTAACTGTAGCTATATAAGGAAGGCATAGACAAGGATGGGCACAAGCTACAAACTTTGGTCATTTGTCCTGAGAAATTGTTAGAACAGCTCCTGGGATATAACTAGGCACAATCAGGAGCAAGCACATGTCAGCAACCACTAGAAACAACCAGGTTGGATGTGGTCAGCTTGTTTTAGGAAGTAGGAGTGGGTAGTCTAAAATAATTGCTCCCAGGGCCAAAGAATGGAACCTAGCTGGTTTTAAATTTTTAATGCACATATAGCCACAAAAGTTTTGTGAGTCCAGGAAAGAGGAAGCTCATCAAATCTCTGTCATCTAGATGTGTCAAAACATGTCAAAGTAGGCTGTGTCAAACCAGGCAGGGCTCTGGACAAAAAGGCTGAGTTATGCCCTCAAGTCCTGTAATGACAAAGCTAATCAAGAAATTAAGATCAGAGAAAGAAAAGAAGTGTATGAAAATTAGAACTTCTGTTGTGGATTTCAACACATCTTAGGAAGAGATGTGCTCAGAAAAACTTCTGTGCATATTCCCTTGAAGTTCATTCTTTTCCACACAAATCTTGATGTTTTCCAACAACTGAGTGCTGCATGGTATAGGCATGATCCAGGGATTAAAAGAAAAAATTGGGTCAAATAAGTATTATTGCAGAAAAAGAAGTTCCAAATCTCTTCCAGTCTCGAGGATGCAAAATTTCTGCAGTTCATCTTTAGTAGTAATTCATTTAGGACTCGTGAAACTTGATCATCTTTTTGCAGTCCTGAATATTTTCTGCAGGCATCTGCTCTCAAATTAAAGCTCTGAGATGTGATCTCTCAGAACTTTGCCATATAACAGCCACGTTTCCCTTGACACATATTAACATACACATTTGCATTGTTCTTATGCAAAACTGCATTGCTTTACTTTGCAATATGAAATAATCTTTTGATAGTCTTGTTGTATATCTTCAAGTTGGAAAGAATATAGCAATATGAAGCTACAAAATTAAGTTGGAAGTCTCAGGAGAAAAGACTGTTTTGTGAGGTTATTAATCCTTCCTGTTTCCACTCTGTCCAAAAATACCACAATTTCAGTTTTGATCATGGCATTTCAACACTTCTTTCCCAATCAAAATCTTAAAGTACTCAAATGCAAGTAAAGGAAAAAAATCAGGGGTGATCTCAAACTTGCATACTCTTTTTCCCTCTACCCCTGCCTCAGGTCTTCATACTGACCCTAGCCCTCTCCAATCCCCTTTTTATTTAACAAAAGAATATTTTATTAGTTGCAAATTAAATTGATCCAGTAGTTCTAAACTTTTATAATTCTGAGGAGAGAAGATATTGAAACTGTAATTATATGTAGAAAATAAAATAAAGGCTGTCTTGCATAAAAAAAACATTCTGGAATACAAAAATTTAACAAATATTTTGACAGCTAATATTTAAGTTCATTCCAGAAAATGTTCATATATATGATTAGCTCAAATCAGAAATACCTTTCAATGTATTCCTACAGTAAAAAGTCATTCATTACAGACATTTCCAGAAAACCTTTTTAACGATGTGAGATTGTAGTGGCTAAGAGTCATAGATGGGCATGACAAAGAATGTGAACACAAGGGGGTTTGGATTATTGTTTTTCTCTTCAGTTGTTAGACTTTAGTTTGTAGCAATTAAAAACCTTGCAGCTTTAAACTATCTAATTGAAGTCTTTCACCCTTGTAGTTTGGTACTTTTAAATGGTGATATTAGGGGCCCAGCAGCTTACGATGGTGGGGAATTTGTCAACGATGCTGACAAATTCCTTCTAGCTTTCTATCACTCTCTGTAGGCATGAAATGGCTTTTTGTAAAATCTGTTAATTTTTTGCTCTGGTTTAGAAAAACATCTTCCAGAAATAAAAAGGGTGGCACAGCTAAAGGCAAATGTTTTCTCTCCACACAAGGGAAAACTTTGTCTTATTTTATTGTTGTTTGTGAGAGAGGATAGTAGAGAACTGCTGCTGTAAAAGGAGAGGAGGGGAGGAAGGGAGGGGAGGGGAGGAGAGGGGAGGAGAGGAGTGAATAACTATGCAATCTAAAGGGGACAAACCAAACTGGGGTGCCATGTAAACTAAGTAAACAGCAGAAATTCTGCTTGCAGAAGAAGGAGGGGATGGCAGTAGCAGTGGGAGTCATCTGCCACCTGCATTGTCTCCCTGTTCTCTTTGTAAGTTGTTGTCTTGTCCCTGGAGACAGCTCAGCAAAGCAGGAAAAGGCTGTTTGGTCCCCTTCTGTTTCCCTAGAACAAACCAAGTTCTCTTAAAAAAAAGAAAAATTTCTCATAAAAGTGGAAGGTCTCAAAGGGATGGGAGTGGGTTATAAACCCATTGCACAACTGAGTGACCTGCAGTCTGACATTAGTGAGGCTTGGAGACTGATGAACACTGGACTGGGGGAAACCTTTCTGATCAGGTTAAGGTCATTAGTTGTGTGTGAAATAAAAGTGGTTTGTATTGCTCTTACTGCTGACATTTGTTAACCTCCTTGTTGCTAAGCATAAGACCAAGCTTAAACTCTCAAAGCTAACTTCTTTTCTGATCGCTTCCAGAGTAACAGATTTGTGTTTTACAAAACTTCAAGGCAGCAGCAGCAAAAGAATGAGAATCCAAAAATACTAAATTGAATGGAGAGTACTAAGGAATGCCACAGACTGACCACAGCTGCAAGTGATATATCCACATGACATATTGTGAAGGTATGACCCTAGGGACCAAAAGCAACATGGTCAAGTTAGTAGTATTACTGTGGACATACATGTTACAGATTGATTTCAATTACATGGAAACACATTCATGTGCCTCACATGCAATTGAAAGTGATTAAGTCCCATGGATATGTGTAAATTTTCTTTTTTCTTGGCTTCCTAGCATTTAACTTTTCAATCTAAGTTGTAAGCTACTAGCAATACTTTTTAAAAAAAATCTAATAAAGGATACATTGGATGTTCCAGCATAGGCATGTATATGCACTATTTCCCCAAACAACAAACATATAATGAGACCTCTCATCTGCTAAAGCAGTCAGGCTTTTGGGAGTAACCAAACGGGGCATATCAGGATAAAAAGGTAGATTTAAATGACCTGGGTGCATGTTCATTCACTTTAAATATTTGGAACACCTCAAATGTACCAAAGGTTAGACCACCAGACTTTTAAGCATATTTTTAGTGGTGAATTTTAGCTCTCTTAAAAATTAAGAGATCTCCTGTCAAATCCTCTGGTGTGTTCTAGGGCTTTTGTACTGACAGATTTCAGTTTTTAAATGGATGATCATTTAAGAACAGACTCCATAAAGTACTAGCTGCAGCAGGATTTGCCTAACTCAAGGTATGTATTTGGCACTCTGTTTTCATTTTTACTACAAACATTACTAGAGGCATCCCAAGGTTAACATTACAACTATGGGATACTATTCAAGCAGCATAGGAAATTCTGTCATTTGTCAGTAGTACAACCCTGCATTTTCCTTTCATCTCCTTTGCAGCTGTCCAAGATTCACAGAAATGTATTATCTCTGTTGTAAAAAAAGGTATCATTGGTCTTTTGGATTAATCATTAAATGATATCTCCTGATCCCAGAGCTACAGCTGACTCAGCAGCCTTTGGGAGTTCTTAAAGAACCAGTGCCTCTAGTCTATTGCTTTTAAAGCTCTCTGTAACTGAGAAAAGTATCTTTTGGGTATATAATGTCTTATAAGTACACTGATGAGATGAAAGCCATAAAAATTGATTTCTAAAATTATCAAAATCTCAAAAATCCTATGCTCATTGTAAGCGTTTATAAAAATAAGCCTTAAAAATAAGCCTTGCATGAGCAGAACATCGAACTGTATATCAATGTGGGATTTTTTCATTACTAGCAGTTTAAAAATCCCTCTATACTAATTAAGTTCACCTTAATGATGAAAACATGCTGTACATATATAATTATGACAGATTACAGGAAAATCTCAGAAAGTGACTAATGTTTATGTCTGAAAAAGTTTAGAAAAAAACCTCTGCAAGTTCATTTTTGATTCCAAAGAATGTACTTTTCTGCATAACTTATTGTGGTCTATTTAAATAAATGGGCTGCACTAATTGTGGTTTCATCAGAGTTGGTGTTATTGTTCATTCTTGTCTGGAAGATCCAACAGGCTGAGCAAAAATACCACCTCTATTCATCCGTATAGTTATTTTTTCATGGGTAGGTATGGAGTTAGTTCCTGAGGGACCTCAGAAGTCAGCTTAAGAGTGATTGGTCACCCTGTATGAGATTGTGCAATACATGTATTAGTCACATACAAATTATATGCTCAATGAGTTTGTGTCCTGGCTGGTTTTATTCCTTCTCTGCAGGCCCATCTGAGAAACTAAAGAAAAAACAAAAAAAATCTGTGTTAATTTATTTATGTGAAAAGTAAAAGAGAATACAAGAAAGCGGGTAAGAATCTGTAGTAGAACTAACTGAAAAAAGGGAAAGCCATATGAAGAAAAAATGGTGGAAACAAAAGGTTATTTTCAATTTACAGAGACCGAAATCCAGACATTTCTTATTACACATTATCTAACAAAATATGAAAGTTGAAAGAATATAAATGTAATTATTTTTTTAATTTTCCTCACTTTCTTCCAGTTTTCTAAACCAATGAAAAAGTTTCCCCTTAGTATGCAGACACATTATTTGCATATTTACATTTTATATGCTTACACATTTTCATTTTTCCTTCTGCCATTTGCGACCCTTGCAATATGACAAAGCTGTCCAAATCATCATCATCATCATCATCATCATCATCGTCATCATCTTAAAATCCCCATTGTATACAGGTGAGGACTTTTTTTTAACATTTTGCTCCAGTCAAGTGACTTCCTAGCTATCTCTTTGTAAAAATAAATCTTGAGACTTCAAGAACAAGGCATACTTCCCTTGTTTTAACCAACCTTGTAATGACCAGAATCAGACTCTTGATTTTCAGAACTGTGTCAAATGCAGGAATTCATTCAACAGAAATAATAACCTCCTTATTTCAGTTCAATATATTCTCATTCATGCATTCTTTATCCATAGTCTTGCAATATGATCCATTTACCATCATGGTTTGCTATTAGTCAAAGTAAGGGATTTATGATATTTGACATATAAGTATAATTCTGATATATATATTTTTGCTTTTAAATATAATATTTTATAGGTTATATCTTTAAAAGATGTTATGGTTTCTTTGTACCCAGCTTATAGTAAATTTCTCTTTCTTATCAGTATTTCCATTATCATTTTGTTACCTTAAAAATTGTCAGAAATAACTTCACATATTTTCCAAGAAAAGCAATACAAATGGAAAAGAAATTAGTGCTAGAGCTTCCTCTCTGGACCTCCTCAGAAACCTGCCCACTCAGAGGTGACTTCCTGTGAACAATTACATTTCAATTACTGCTCATTTAACTAGTTTTCTATTATGGTTTTCTTGTTTTGATGTTATTTATTTGTTGGGGTTTTTTTTATGGAGTGGAACCATTAGCATGACAAATATTTCACAAAAGTTTGGAAAATTGTATGAATTCTTGCATTTTAATCCATCGAAATGCAAAGTCTTTTGTGACAATACAATTTCCTCTAAAGACCATCTTAATTGACTTCTATTCTACCACTTTTTCCTGATCTTTATTAATGAGCTGCTTCATCAGTTGTTTAGATAGGCAGACTAGTGTTTAGGAAGGCAAGGATTATAACCTGTTCATTTTATTTATCTTTTATGAATATTAGCATGATATTAGGATTTTTCTGTTCTATTCAAACTTCCCTACTCTTTCCAAACTCACTGGAAAATAATATTCACAATTTAAACAAACACTCAACCAGCTTTTTTTAAAAGCTTGATGCAAGTTAACCTTTATTCACTGGTTAAAATGTCAAGTTTTTGTAGTTTTTGTTTAGTATCTTCTGTCAAAGTGGAAACTATTTCATCAGACTGAGGCCGAATAGAAATCTGCCAAGAACAAATCATGCTTTATTTATTTCTCTAACACAATAACTGAACAGAAAATACACTGATGACATTGTATATTCTCGTTTTAATGAAGTTCTTGATCTTCTTTTCAGGATTCTAAGGAAATCTTGTGTGGCCTGTAAACTACATGCAAGATCAAATGTATAGCAGTTCCAGAGAGTCGCTAGCAATGGTCCACAGTCAGTGACTGAACATACCCATTCGCATGCTGCCCTGGATCTAGGTGTGTTTAATATTTTCATGACTGACTGACCCTCAGAAGGGAAGAGAGATTGTGTTGATCAAATTTACAGTTGATTGGAGACAAGAAGAGTAGGAAGAGAAATCAAAATTACCTTAGCCACCTGAAGAAATTATCTGAGAAAAAGTCTGGATGGAATTCAGTAGTTATAGGTTTTAAAAAAATCAGCCACACAGATATAGGATGGAAAAAAACCCCACCAAATAAAACAAGAAAGTAACCATTTTTTTTGAAGCTCATCTTGGGATTTGACTGAATCATTGTTGAACATAAGTCAGAAATGTTCTGATGTTGTGGAAAGGCTAACATCACAGTGGGATGTATAAACTAGACAAGACATAGGAAATAATCCTGCTCTTCTTAGTACTGCAAAAGCCTCATCTGTTTGTGTCTATGAGATATTGGGTGCTTGGGTTAGCGCAATGTTTTAAAGTACTGTGTTAATTTATTTCTATTTTTTTTATCTGGAACTTTGACCTGAGAATTGTATAGGTGCTGGTGGAGCATTTTAAGGACACTTTTTTAATAGCTGCATGAGCAATTTCACTTGACTCAAACCAAAGACCCTCCTCCTTTTAATTATACTCTCCTTCTAATTACACTCTCATTTTAATTATGATCTCTTTTTCCTACACGATACGTATTTGTCCTTAAAGCATTGGTATCAATAGAAAAGAAATTCTTTGGGCAACAGGGACTGCAAATGATTGAAGGAAACAAGTTCCATTGCAAAATAGAGAACCAGAATCCTCAGTTACACTGTGGAAATGTCACTAGTGAATGTATGGTGAGAGCAGCATCAAAATGACCCCCAGGTTACACTACATTTTATTGAAGAGAAGGCAGCAAGAACACTGTGGCCAGACAGGAAAGCAACAGAAATTGAGGTTGTCCCTCTAACCTAATACACATGCAACTGCAGAGACTTTAGACACAAAGTCTAGAGGAAGCCACCTGAATGCACTGGTATTGCTTCTTGAAGAAATTCTGACTGTAGTTCACAATGCACTAATATGTAATAATGTCACGTGTGGATCAGAAATTAAATTCAAAGCAGAAAGCCTCTGATAGTCCTGAAAGGAGTTATATACAAATTAAATGTAGGAATGAGAATAGTTACTTTCTCCTCTGCATGCTGGAACATTTGCCCCAATACAGACTGTTCCTACAGATGCTGTCAACTCTTAAATAGTTATTGTAATACAGAGTCATGCAAAGATTTTTAAGGCTACCTTGTAGTTATTGTAATACCCCATTCAGCCATCAAAGCAGTCACAGTACCACAGTTATTGCCAGGATACACACACAATACAGGGAGAACGAACCATGTATTTTTTAATTCTGTTTTTCAAGGGCTCAGAAGCAGCCCCATAGGTGCTAATTATTTCTTTTTTCGCATATTTTTGCAAAATTTTTACTCTGTAACTATGC